CCAAATAATAAACGCAGATCCAGCAGCGATATTGTCACGGTCTAATATCTTCACGTCATTGCTATCCATGCAATGTAGGTTGTCAGTAGGATGCTCCGCGATGGCAGAATGTTTTTTATCACCATGCTCAAACGCTGTCATATGCTCTTTTAGACGGGTTTTAACTCATCTGTTTGTCGTACTATTGTAAATCTCTCGACAACATTTACGATCCGTTTGGTTAACAGCTCACATTATAAGCACATCGTCCGTTTTAAAGTCTTCGTCATACTAAATGTTGCATGGGTAGATGCTAGCTCGTACACATGATATTGCGCCCGTCCTTATGAAAGCTGAAGTTCATTCGATTATCATAATTACTATTACTAATGTTCTGAGCTTACTAGCAAAAGTTGTTTTCGGTGCCGCCGTTCAGATCAATTACTGTAATATCTCGTTTATTCAGAAAATGTCGCAAAAACTTCAATATTCTGGATTAAAATGTTGAGAATTCTTTCTTTCAGCCTTCTGATATGGATTTATAGTCCATGTCATCATCAAGTGTTTGGACTTTAATTGTGTGTACGTTAATGAAGCTGGAAAACTGTTTCTGTTGCCATTAAATCAGCATAAATTTTTGAAGATATTAACAGTAGATTTATCTCGTTTCAAAGAAGTTGACTTTTGTTGAAGCTGCCTAAAATCTACGGTGTTGGTTCCCGTACGGGAAGCAGGAAAGGTTAAGCATGCTTTGAAAATGACGTCCTGGTTAAGTGCAAGCGCCTCCGGCCATTAGCCTCGCTTATGAAGCAGCAAAACTGTCAGTCCAGATCCAAAGTAGCTCTTGGTCTCAACGCTCTGACGAGTGATGGAACTTTGAACAGATGTGCAACTTCCTGACATTAAAATTTAACTTTCCATAGGCTGTTAGATTGCCTTCCCGTCATCCCTGGGAAAATTTTTCTCCTCATAACTGCGTATTTCCGTTTTTTAATTCTTTGCGTTCCCTTTTTGTTCTTTGGTTTTGTTCTGATTTCCATGCTATTTTTCCTTTATTGTTATCTTTGCTTTTTTATTCTCGTCCCTTCTTCCCACTCACATACCTCATTCCCTTATCTCCTATTTACCAGTCGTTTTCTTTTTCCCCTTTCCCTGATGTACTCTCTTTTGTCTTTCCCTAATTCTTAGTGTCATTCTTTCTCCTTTGTGACATCCATGCACATTGCAGTCCCACCGTTCTGTCAGTTAGAACGCTCCTTTATCCTTATTGCCATACTTCGTTTCACATTCTGCTGCTCGATTTCTTTCTCATACGTCTCATCTTCCTGACCTTTTATTTTTTATTCACTAATTTATCCCAGCCTTTCCCTTCTGCTGTTTTCTGCTATCATATTCTTGCTTATGTTGTTTTGTTCTTTCTCTGACTGAAGCAATTGCACAGCCAATTTTTTCTCCTTCCATTTGTCACTCACTTTCTTGGCTTGTACCTGCCTGCTCGACTCATTTTCCTATATTTCATCCCTTGCATATGCTCATGTTCTTGGCATCGATCCTGTCTCGTTTCACTCACAATGATGTATAAGCGTTTTTATGGCGAGACTGCAGCATGATGTGAAAACAGTTTACCCCTCGATGTCAGGGCAGTTGCTTACTTAAGCTTCACATGAGGAACGACGACTAAGCTAATGCGGGGCAAACTACAATCCATTGAAGCATTCGAATTGCCATGCTGCAGACGACAGATGCGTTGCTTCTGGACGAACCAGTAAATCAGTTATTGAGTCAAACGCGGAAGCTGTGACGTTTTGGAGAGGTTACGAGGAATGAAGACTGTGTCAAGTAAACGGTACTGGCACATGGATCGAGATCGAATGAAGACCAAGGTTAAGTTGAGCGGGCGACGTCGCACATTGAAGATAAATAAACATCGTTCGTGCTTCGAATGACCAAAAGACAGGAAAGTATTGTCTGGAGTAGTGTGTCATGTCTTGAACCCTGTGAACTGAGAAAGACATCTGAGATTAGAGAAACAATTAGAATATGATATTCTGCTGTTTACATTTTGATTCTAAGATGGCCATTGCTTTGCCGGTCAGCTATACGGCTAAGATTATTGCTGAAGTAACGCCAATCATTAAATTCGCAAGGTTGCGACAATTTTTGATGTTTCAAGGGTATACGTTTGTTTAATTTTGCATTTTACAGTCGTCAAGAAGGAGGAAGAACAGAAAAAGTTTATGTTGGATCCAGTCAAGTCGAAAACCCGTACTTTTGACATGTTTGCGGAGGAGCCGCTTTCAGTCCCGGAGGTTTGTGCATTGCCCCACTTATTATTTGTAGTTGTTTATTGTTCAGTTTTGGTTTTGTAGCTGCACCCATTGCCTGAAGAATTTGCGCCCATCAACACAACGGAAAACCCTCATCTGACGGATAACTGGGACGATGTCGAAGGATACTACCGTAATTGTTTCCTTTGTCTGTTTCTTTGTTGATTACGATTGTTATTGTCGCTGTTTCAGGAATCAGAATTGGTGAGGTGATCGATGGGAGATACCTGGTTTACGGTTACACTGGACAGGGAGTTTTCGGCAATGTTGTACGTGCCAGAGATCAGGCTCGAGGAAACTTGGAAATTGCTGTAAAGATCATTAGAAATAACGAACTGATGTACATTTTGATAGTCAGCTTCGATGGCCGTCTTTTGACTGGTTTAATTTCAGGCACAAAACCGGCCTGCGTGAACTCGAAGTCCTGAAACGGCTGAACAACGCTGATCCGGATGACAAGTACCACTGCCTTCGGCTTCATCGCCACTTTTTCCATAAGCAGCACTTGTGTCTTGTTTTGGAGTCGCTTAGGTATTGTTTTTTTTCGGGCAACCTCTCCTACATGAGCTTCATTTTCTAGCATGAATCTGCGTGAAGTTCTGCGAAAATATGGCAAAGACGTTGGTTTGCATATCAAAGCCGTCCGGTCGTACACGCACCAGATTTTCATGGCTCTCAAGCTGTTGAAAAAGTGTAACATCCTTCACGGCGATATTAAACCGGATAATATTCTGGTATGGACACTGAGCAGTCAGGTTTTTAGAACGGCTAAATTTGCTGAGATGAAACTTTTTTCACGTGCCGGTGGTGCTTTGCTTTAAAATATGATGCTTGAATGTAACTGATGGCTAATATTTTCTAGCAGCGGAATAAGCTGCGCATTTTTTTATCTGCTGTAAAGATGATTCTAGGCTTTGTATTCGTAATTGGTCCATTGGGAAATTCCTAAGCTATCCCAACCATTACGTTTAGAAACATGGTCGGTATTTAATCTAAAGCAGACTGCTCACTCGAATCGACAGCCTTTATACCTGTTGTTTGTACTTTTGTAGCTCTTTGCGCCCTTTAGTTAAGTTTTGCTAGAAAAGGACTACTTATAAACAACATACGTGTGCGAAAGATGTCTGAATGGCGGTCACCATTAGCATTTCCAGAACAAAGCATGGTACAGTTATTTCTTCCTATTTTGTATATGGGCGAACAACGAATTCGCGGATCATTAAAAGTTTATGCCTTGTTTAAAAAAAATCAGCCGGAAAGATTTTCTCCCGTTTATCACAGCTTGAAGATTTAGGGCTTTTCAACAGTCTGTTGTGATTCTCTGTAGTTCGCATGAATCCGCGGTTACCACTATCCCATTTTCGCTGTCGTCATCGTCGTTTTGGGCTGGTCAAGTTTGAACTGTTTTGAGTAATCTATGTAAATTACGTATCACTCGATAGAAACAGTGCTGTATTGATATGAGAATGTTTCTTCGCTGTGCAGATATTCATATTCTTCGACATGTCTCTATGAACTGCTTCCACGTATTCTCTGGCTATCAGATTTATTTTCAGCAGATGCTTCTCCTATGAAGAAAGTTTTAGGTATTTGGTTCATTTTTAAGGCCCTTTTGTCATGCGAAGCTAGGGGCGTTGTCTCCGTTTTTATGACCGTTTTCTCATCCTGACGAGGTCAGCAGTTTCTCTTTAGGATCTGATTGTATTGTCACACTTCAAGGATCCCTCACATGCAACGCTGTTTATAGCATCTTAGATGAACTTCGTGATGGTCTGATCAGTTTATGCTTAGACCGAAATATTGCACCTCTGCTATCTCCCTTTTGATTGCAGCAAATCGGCGTGCATGCGTTATTCCGTGTTGCCTTCAGTTCTGCAGTGATGAAAAATTACATTCTACGTTTATAGGCAGGAGGACATGATGTAGAAGTTTGAGAAACACTGTGCCATTTGTAGCATTTCAACAGTCAAAGTGTATTACTGTTCTTCATTTTCTTGACATCATTCATCGTCCGACTCTTTTGTCTCTTGCCTATCAGTCGTGATCCTGCGCTCATGAGGTAGATGAAGCGACGAGAGGTTCCCTCCGTGCATCTTTTGGCGATCAACAAGTCAACCTGAAATTGTTGGGACTGATTTGTGTTAGCATGTGCATGATCCCAATCAAGAGGAATATGAAGTTCTGTTAGCTCGCAGTACTTTTGCCTCGTTAGCAGCCCGTTTCAGATCTGATGACTGCGTACCGTCTCTGAAGTATGCTCTCCACCGTACTACACAAGCATGCGGATTATTTGGCCAGTGCACGCTTCGCGACGCTGACTCCTTGGTTGTGTTATAGAGAGTGCGTTCAGCTTAGAAAATGTACCGTTATCGGATGATTGCTGAAAGTTTTTGAAGATTGTCTGGCAATGGATTGTCTGTCCTTCTAAATAGCTTAGAAGGTACGACCTCAGCTTTTGCCCCTCCACTTATGTTACCTTAGAAAAAATGAGAAATTTTTTTAGCAATTCGTGTAGTGCAAGTTTCTTGTACATCATGCCTTTAAAAAATTTTAAACGGTGAGATTTCAAATTTTGTTTTGCACTGCACTAGTGGTCTTAGAACGGTGTGCGGCATGCGACATATTAGGAAACGATAAAGAAGGTAACTTAATTTTATATTTTGTAATCTGTCTTCATCCCCTGTTCTTCAACCACAGACCTTCCCGGTGCCGTATGGTAGCATGTAATTTGTCTTTTGTCGTCTCCTTATATGTAATTTTGTCGTGGTTCGTTGCAGGTCTTGTCGTTCGCGTCAGCCTCATCCTAACTTTGTGTTCTGCTGTATATTCGATGATGTTGTCCTTTGTTAATTTCCATTTCAGATAAACGAATCGAAACTGGTATTGAAGCTGTGCGATTTCGGCTCCGCTTGTCACGTGGCAGATGCAGAATTAGCTCCGTATCTGATTTCGAGGTTTTATCGGGCTCCTGAAATCAGTATGCCTAGAATCTGTATGCTTTCATGTTTTTACCTTGATCGGTTTAGTGTTGGGTTTGCCGTACGACTTCAACATTGATCTGTGGTCAGCTGGAGTGACGATATATGAAATGTACACCGGAAAAATCATGTTTCCGGGGAAATCCAATAATCAAATGCTTAAGTTCATTATGGATTTTAAGGGCAAATTTCCCAATAAGCTTGTTCGGAAAGGACAGTTCAAGGATCAGCACTTTGACTCGAATTGCAACTTTCTGTACCACGAAGTCGACAAGGTTACACAAAGGGTAATTCATATTTCCTTAAACGTTATAAATGTTTATGCTTACTTTGTGATTCAAATTAGTTATATGTGCAGTTTTTGTAAGGCAAAGTTGGCTGAAGCACCTATATGTCCTTAATGTGAATTATCTGTATTAACGCTTTGCGTTTCTTTACTGACTGATGTAATAGATTGACAGAACAGTCAGCTGAAGGACCTAGCTTGATTTTCGAAACGTTTACTTTACTCTGTACCGGCCCTAAAGCCTTCCCGGCCTTGACTGTTGTAAGTTTCTGTTTTCTGAGGTTTCTAGACTTTTTCGTTAAAGTAGCTGTTTCTTTCCCCTGTATAAGGGGTATAGTTCAGTAATTCGGAAACTTGCTTGGGTTTACCTGACGAACCATTGAAACAAGGAATATGGGTTGTCTTTTGCGCTCACACTCCCAAGTGCTCGCTCTTATTGCTGCAGTTAAAAGTACGGAGAAGACTATTACAGATCCATTATTCTTGCCAGAATGACGCAGAACGAATAAGCGCTGTGCCACGTTTGGATTATATCCAGTAATCCTCATCTGGCAACGATCTGAATCACGAATAGCGACTATTTCTGAACCCATTCTTTGGAAGTTGCCCCTCACCATGATGATTGATGATCGATCTGTCCAGCGATCTTGCGATGTACCATTCTTCCTGCCTAAAGGTTGAAAATGCACTGGCATTCGTGTTTGTTTGACCTATGTAAGTGTTCCATTCAACTTAGCTATTTGTGTACCCCGCATTCCCAGTGCCTTTGTTTTATGAACTAGATCAGTGGAGCTTCATTCACTGATCACGAACTGGCGGCGGTATTTGCTGCAGTGAAATCTATCGTGTGGTCTATGGTGATGTAGCAATACAGCGGTTCTAATATTGTTTCTGGTTTGTTGAATTCGTTCTCGGTCTTCGGTCTTCGCTGTCTGACTGATGATTCTGTTGTATCCTTAGCCGTAGTGATTCGCTTTCTATCGATGTAAATAGAGTTGCAGTTATTGCGCTTAATCTGGTATATAATGTGTTTGATCTTCGCTAGTGATGAGGTCTTTGACTTTAAATTTGTCTGGCCTTATTTGACCTTCTGTTCTGAGTACCACTAATTTTTACGAGTTAGGTTTTGTTCTTTGTGACCCAAATAGGTCGCAGACGTAAGGGATGCGATATTACGGTTTTCACGCCGGCTTCAATTGTTGGTGTGGCCGCTCAGTCACCGGAGACATGAGCAGTTGATGGGCTTCTGATTCGCACGGCGACAAAGTTATTTGTCTCTGAAAGTACCACTTGCTGAGAAGGAACGAAGGCTACATACTGTACTAGCCACGTATCTGTTGCCATTGTCTTTAAAAATAGGTTTTTTCTGGCTAACAACGTCGAAGGCGGATACGAGAACTGCTCCCTGTTCTTGATGTAAGAAAGGTTCCACAAATGTCCTGATGGAATTGTAAGAGATCGACGTTTTTCTCTGTGATGTTCAGGGAAGACGAAACACTGGCTCGATCGATGAGGCTTCTTAATAACCTGTTTTTTCTGTTTCATGGCTTGGTAG